TTAGTCATAAGGTCGATGTACGGTTCACTTTAGTAAATGCTGCTGAAGTGGTTGTGCCAATTTATACCTCCACCATGAGGTACAGCAACGTTACCTGAAATGTGGGCCGTGAGCTATTTGCTGCTAGTCTGCAGCAAGGTAAGTCCGGAAACTGACAGCGAACATTTAGAAACTCTTGCAGAAATGTGATATTGTTGTGACATACAAGTACACGGTCGGCAGACTTGTCCGACAGTGTATAGACAGTTCAGCTGTCACATACTGAAGCACAGGTGGCAGGGGCCTCCCATGAGTCATTCTCAGTGGGACCGTGTTTTGGTCTGCAATGCATTGGAAATTTAAAAAGAAAAAAAGGACACTTTTTTTTTTTTTTTTTTACCACATATAGCTTGAGAGGCACTGGCGTGTGAGAATTCGGATGGATCCACAGGCCTGCTAACATTCCGTGATGTTTGCTGTGTGGCCTTTCTGGTGGGGGCTCCAGTTGTATGGCTCTGTGAGTCTAATTTGCATTTGAAATCATCCGCTTTCCATGTTTGTTTGTCACCTGGAGGTCCCTTCGCGTGAAGCACCTGTTCAAGTCTTTGCCCACTTTCAAGGTATTTGTTTTAAGTTTTCCTGAACATTTAACCTGAGCCCTTTCTCAACTCCCCTCCCCGCTATTTCTGAGGCAGAAGGTGAGTGAAATATGCAGAGGGCAAAAAACGAGGTTCAAAAGTGAGATTCAGCTGAGGTTATTCATTCAGTGAATATTTATGAGAATCTACCGTGTGCCAAGCACTGTGTGTCACCACGGGACACAGCATTGAACAAAATAGCTACATTCTTGCTTCAGGGGATTTATATCCTAGTGCGGAGCGGACAATTAACTGATAACTTTGATGGTGATCAGTATTATGAGGATTATTGGACAACGACTGAGTAACTGGGATGGGAAGATACTTTGGCTAGAGCAGGGAAAGAAGGATTTTTTTTTTTACAGAAATTATATTTAAGCCTACGTCAAATAACAAGAAGAAGGCAGCCGTAAAACAATCATTGAAAACCTTCTAGGAAGAAGACATGTCAGGTGCAAAGGTCCTGAGGTAGAAATAAGTTGGTCTGAGTTATACTTCTCTTATTTGGATCAAAACTGATATACGAAATAGATGCCACAGGTGCCTGATGCCCAGATCTGAACCCCATATTTAACGCGGGTTTGCCGCCCAGGCTTGTGAGTGGAAGGGACCTTGGAGAGACTGACCCCCGGTCCCTGGAGCTGCTTCGCTCACACAGGCTGGGAACAGGAAGTACCTGGGGGGTTACATTCCCCCCCTCACCCCGCAGCCCTGATCCAGTGGTCGAGGATGTAAGAGTGTGAAAGCCGGCTCCCATGTCTGGAATTGGGGCAAGTTCAGCGTGTCATCGAGGCTGCACAGAGTCACGAGGGTCAGGCTGCAGCCGGGACTTGGCCGGGGCTACTGTACCTTTGGCTCATTTCTGCTTCCCTTGCAGCTTCTTCCGGGAGCACATCCTTCAGAAGTTGGTTGCCCCCGAGTTCTCCTGCAGTGGGGCGCTTTCAGGGAACCCAGCTTAAGACAGCCAAGGCATGTCTCTCAAGGACTTTTATTTTTCTCTCTAAGAGCAGGTCCTCCTGCGGCCCCAGATAACAGCATGTGCAATGGCGTCGGGCAGACCCGGGGGTGAGTTCCAGCTCTTCACCTGCAGTTCCCCTTGGGCAGGTGACCCACTCTCTCTGGGCCTCGGTTTCCTCAGTTACAAATGTGGGACAGATACAACGCCCCCTTTGATGGTCACTGCGAAGATTAAAAGAAAGAATGTAGACAAAACACTTAGCAGAGGGACAGGCACAGAGTAAATGCTCAGATTTAGCTATTATGACGGAAACTTCTCCAGCTTTATGAGCGCCCATCAAATGTTGCAAGCCTTGGGGAATATATCTGTTGTATTCCTGGGAAAGTGCTCTGCGTCACTGAACTTGACTGGGGCCGGGCAGGGAGGAGGAAGAGAACCAGCGTTTCTGTGACCTGCATCCTTTCATTTAATCCTGAGAAGCATCTGGCAAGAAGAGAAGTTTCGATTACAAGTTTTAAAGGCGAGAACCTAATATTCAAAAAGGCTAAGTTGCCTAAGGAGACACGGTGTGTATGTAAGTGGGGTTCGGGAAGACCGTCTGCTCAGAGCCCAGGCTCTTGGGGGGCAGGGCTGTCTTTTCCTGTAGGTCTTGGTCCTGCGGAGGCGCTTGGTGTCTGTCATTCATGGGGGAACGTCCAGTCCTAGCTGAGATGACTCCCGCCAGGCCAAGCCGCTAGATGCTGAAGCCTCTCCCCAGCGGCAGGGCTCCTGGGCCCCCATGTCTTGTGCCATATACTTGAGGTGGCACCTGGGCACACTCTGGTCTTCAGTCCTCAGGCCAGTGGTGCAGCTGAGCGTCTCTGGAGCCCCATCTGCAGTGCCCAGAAGGCACACGACTGCGTTTTAAGAGCTCACGGGGAGCCGGCCCTTGCCGTGCTGGCTCGGCCCTCCAGGATCCCTGCGCCTTTAAAGTCAGATGAAGCCTCAGGCAGGAGGCTGATTCAGGCTGCCACATCTGCAGGCAAATCCGATCCCAGGGGGCGGGCCTGCCCCGCGGAGCATAAAACCCCAGGTGCAGGCTGCAGACAGGGAGGGCCAGGGAGCGGGGCCCAAAACCCCTTCCTGTCCTGGCGCTGAGCATTCAGTGCCAGCAAGAGGGTGAGGAACTGAGTTCTGAGTCAGCTGGGTCAGCTCCGGGGACAGAGCCGCTTCTCGCCTTCTCAGAGTTTCCTACTGGGGTGACCGAACTCGCTCCCCCCAGGCTAACCACGTGTGTGAAGCCTCCCTTACAATCGTGATCTTTCCAAAAGCTAAGGCAGACGCCCCAAGGGCCCAAGAGACATTTTGAGTCCGGGGGCGATGGATGGAGTGTCGTTCCCTAGGAGACACCGCTCACCCTTTCTTTTCCCGCAGGGCTGGGCTCTGGGCGGGGCGGGGGAGGGCCGCGGGCCTGCTCCGGGGCGCACCGCGGGGCGCGCGTCTGGCCGGCTGGTGCTAGCCCGCGGGGTCGGGGATCCGCGCGTGCCGCCGGCCCTGGGCCCC